CTAAATGTTCTTTGTAACTTGGACGAGGTAAACTCTACTTCAATGAAAAGATGATTTGTATTTGTAAGTATATTTTACTATCAAAATTTTGTGCTCAATGAAATACACGAAAACAAGGAAGAGATAACCGAAACGCAAGAGGATAAGGAAGAGTCAATTGATATTGGAGATAAATATGTCATTAATGGAGACGAAGACATTATTAATGGTGACGATGAGGCCAAAAGAAAACATGAAGTAATCTCTAAATTAGAAGGGTCATTTTAATTGGTCTTCAGGAGTCGGTTCTCTTGCATGGGGTTTTCTTTCGTTTTCGTAAAATCATTTTAATTGATTGGTTATTAAAATGTCAGAAAACAATATGATGTTGATTCGATCGAATTTGTTGAAAAAGTTTAATAATTTGGAACTCTTATTCTCCCAATCTATTCGAATGTTTATAGTATTTGGCGAACTTAGATTTTCTTATACTCATGCGTAACTCGAATACATATTGCTATAATTATTTATGTGATTGGTAACTGATTTCGGCCAACTGGTCGGGGCCGTGACTAGTTCTCTTTTTTACTTATTAGCCTTCTCCATGTAGTTTATAAGAGCATAGCCAAAATTATGGCTAACAAACTTTGTCGAGTCTTGCCTAGTGTTATTTGCCTAGTCAAATCTCGGATAATATTCTGATTAGTCATGGGATCACGCATCATCTAAAAACTACGACTTCATGTAGGAAATCGTTGATGACTTTTGAAATTGAACATGGAGAAAGCTTATGATCGTATCAAATCCCTTTCTCTTTGAAACCCATGCTTCATATAATGGATTAAGGAATGTGTCACAATAGTACCGTACTCAGTCCTGATTAACGGGTTCAATCATATTCTTTTTGTTTTCGAGAGGTCTCAGACATGGGAACCTAATTCCACCCCTAGAATTTGTTATATATAAGGAAAGATAGAAAAACGATCACCATGGGTTACTTGGAAGGCTTCAGAATATGGAACTCATCATGTTCGATGGTCCCAGACATGTTCTTTGTCGACGACTCATAAAAAAAATTAGTAGCTTTTCCATATTCGTGTTCAACACTTCAATGCCTCTTGAAAGCCTATGAAGGGCTGAGAGGATAACGTGTTAATCTAGCTAAATCAGCTATCTAGTTTAGTCAAAATACAAATCTCATACAAGCTTTGACCTTGGGATTTGAATTGGGAGTTGGTAGCATTCGTGAATAGGATTCATATATGAGACTTCCCTCAATTATTTCTAGGTCTAAAAAGGAGACATTTCACTTCATTAAGGAGAAGCTTATTAAGAAATTGCAAGGGTGGAAGCAACAAGCTTGGTCTAAGGCTGGTAAGGATACCCTCATTAGGACCTCTGCTACTAACTTACCAGTTCATGGTATGTCATATTCAAGTTTCCCAAGGAGACTTATTGTCCACTGGTTGTCCTTGAAGGCCTCAACCCATAGTTAACGTCGTGGAGGACTTGGATTTTGGGACTTTGGGGCTTTCAACGAGGCCCTGCTAGCCAAACAATGTGGCATATTTTGACTAACCCTGACTCTTTACTTGCCTTAAAATACAAAGGGCGGTATTTTAGCCAAGTCCTAATGTTGGAAGCCCTGTAGGTTCCAATCCATCTTGGGTTGGCGTAACTTATTGTTTGGGAGAGATCTTTTCTTGCAAGAATTGCGATGGCAGATTGGTGATGGGCAAGATATTGATCCTTTCTTGGACAAATGGATCCCAGTTGAGAAGCCTACATCCCATGTTGTAAGCTTTATAACTCCTAATGGGTCCCTGCGGGTTTCTTTTTTATTTAACAAGGATGATCTAGGGGAGTGGCATGTACCGAGACTTCAATATTGGTTTGAGCCTCACTCAGTTTCCCTTATATGTAAAATGCCACTTTCATGTCTCTATCGGAAAGACGATAGGGTATTTCAATTTACTAAGAATGGCACGTACATGGGGAAAACTGGTTACCACTTGGTGCTAGAGGTTTCTTAGGTTTCTAGCCGTAAATCTCTGGCCCAAATCATTTATCCCTCTATATGGAAAAAGACGTTGAATGTCCAAATCCCATCAAAGTTAAAATTATTTATCTAGTGATGCCTGAAGTTGGTCCTACCTATGGTTGTGGCTCTTCAATCCTGAGGGGTCAACTGTCTTATCCAATGTCTTGTTTGTTAGAGACATCAAGAGAGTATGAACACTTGTTCTTCAGATGTCCCATGGCCACCAAACTAGGGTCTCTTGTAGAATTAAGTGATTTCATTGACTCGGTCTTTACTGTGAATTTCAATCTCTAGTGGCGACGTGTTATGCTCTCTGAGTACTCCGGAACCCATGTTCTCCAATGCGTCTGCCTACTATGGAGAATATGAAAATCTCGAAATAAACAAGCATGTTTTTAGGTCGTCAGTTTTATTCCCAAGTTATTGAGTGACCTCTATGCTTTTACCCTCTTCGGGTACTCAACCTTGCCTGTTTCGCTTCCTCCGGCCCTTTGAGAGTCTCCCTTGAAAACTTTATGAAGATTAACTTTGATGCAGCTATCTGTGATTCTGGTTGTTCGTCTGTCCTGGTCATTTGTGGGGTAGACGGACATGTTGTGTTGGTGGTTGGAGCTCTGCAACTTGGAGGGGTTGATCCCTACCCGACACAACTTCTTGCTACTAGAGATGCACTTTCGCTCGTTGTCTCAAGGAACTTCTGTCGTATCATTGGGGAAGGTGACTCTAAAGTGGTCATTCAACAACTTCGTCAAGGCGTTATGATGGATTCTCTTGGAGGGACATTGCTTCGGGATTGTCGCCAACTAGTTGACTCTCTGTCTGTTTGTATAGATTTTAGGGCGGTTCCTTGAGGCACAAATGAGAGCTTACCAAACCAAATCAAACTAAATGAATCAAACATATTGTTGGTCTGGTTCTTATCTTTATTTTTCCTTTGATTTTGCTTATGTCTCATCTCGATTCGATCCGATTATGAACCGAATCAACCGATGTCCACCAAAACACAATCTGATTTGGTTCGATATCATCTCGATTAGATCTGATTATGAACCGAATCAACCAATGTCCACCCCTACACAATCTGATCATCGATACAAGGACGAGTGACTTATATATATGGTGTTAACTTTAAGATGTATTTTAAGACGATTAAACTAAATTTGTGATTATATATTGATGTTCGCAAGAACCAAAAGGAGACTCGCCTGGCTGTCGGGGTGGACAACGAGAAACAGGTATTTGGGTATACCCATACCCGCCCCATTTTTTTAGGGTTACGGGTACCCAAATACCCGTAATTTTTTTACGGGATGGGATTTGTGATCAATAAATTCTACAATGGGCACCCACAGATTACCCGTTAATACCCATTTGGGTACTACGGGTACCCGTACTACCCGCCAAGTACAAAGAAACACTAACACCATGAAGGGAACATATATTTTTCAATTACTTGGTCTTGGAAAGTTGGGATTGAGCCTTCCTCTGTCCTAGTAGACAAACAAAGAAATAACAATCAGTAAAGAGAGCTTCTTTTACCTGAGTAGAGGAGGCAAATGTATATGAAATCAACTAGTAATACAAAGAATATTTTTCCAAACATTTACCTAAAATCCAAACTATTCATTCCCGTTTGAGAGTTTGGAAGGGGATGGGGGCCTATTAAGCTGCTCAATTATGTATAAGAGTCTGCTCAATACTCAATCACGTATTTCCCAACTCCAGCAATCGGATTTCATTCTACATTTTAGAAACTCATGCTAGCTGTTAGTACAAGTTACGAGTTACCTCGGGTATCCGTTATCCGTTCCGTATGGGTAATGGATACCCGTTAACCCGTATGGGTTTGGGAGATGGGATAGAGTTTCCTCTCCAAATGGAAATGGGTACCCGTTTCAAACGGGATGGGTACCCAATCCCGTCCGGTTGTCCACCCAACCTGGCTGCCTCCCAAAGTACTCCAAAACAAACAAGTCATAAGGAGACAAACCATTGTGAGGGTTCTAAAAAGCGCGCCTATGCACTCGCCTAGGCGCAAGTCATAATGAAACGCCCTGCTTTGGCAAAAAGTAGCAGAGTAGGAGTCATGATCACGTTGTGGCATTGGTGGCGCCTAGTCGGCATTGAGTTGCATCTCATAATGATGACACAATGTCTCTTTTCTTCCTTTTGATATGCTATTAGGAAGGAAGTTCTTGATTTTTATATAATTAAGCTATGATATATTTAGAGACGACCGTCATTAGAGTAGCTTCTTCTTTCTTTTTAGCGCTTCTTTGCTCTCAATCTGCTTCGCTATTTTCCATCTTTTTCTTCCTTACTCATTTTCCTATACTATGTTCTATGTTTTATCATGTGATGTTGATGAAAGTTTAATAATGAGAGGTAGATGCGATGATATTGGTTCATAAACTTGCAATTCTTGGCAAGTGTGAGATTTTTTGTTGCGTTTACATCTAACGTTTAGTCACGTCTAATCAACGCCTAAGCATGTTAGGCGCAAGACAGAGCCTCAGCGCTCGCCTTACGCCTAGCGCTTTGTTTAACCTTGGACATGCCTCCTAAATATACAACCATTAATAAAGTGCAAATCCGCTTGATACTGCTACTGAATACTGATGTCCCACATAATTTGTCTACTTAGACTCTCCACAATGTAAGTGGGTTTAGGCCTTAGGCCGAAAAGTGGGAAAATAATCCACAATGTGGGGGTGAATTAGCGTCCGGCCTTAGTGGAGGTGGCACGGAGGAAGCATTCTGGCGGGCGAGGAGTGTGGGCCTGGGTATACCAATCGTCTTAAAAAAGGTGCTCGGCCTGTTATCATTAGTAATCAAATCAGGCATTAGGCCCAAGCGAAAAACCTATTATCGGATACAATACCCGTTCCCCTGGCGGGAAAAAGGCACCAAACTTCGCGGGAAACAAAAGGAAACTTCTGGAACACAATCAAAATTCCTTTTTGGATTTAAATTTTGAAATTTCGGATTTACCTTTGGCGATTCCCGATCCCCTCATTTCCCCGCTCTCGCTCAGAAGCAGCAAACAGAGTCGATATTTTCAGTTCTCCGGCGATTTCCTTACTGTTCAGAGCTTTCATTAATCCATGGCGGAAGAAGAGGAGAACGTTGAAGAAGCGTCGATTCGGACCGAATTCCCGGTCGGCCGTGTGAAGAAGATAATGAGGCTCGACAAGGAAGTCAACAAGGTGACATCGGAGGCTCTATTCCTCGTCTCGCGCTCCACGGAGCTGTTCCTTCGGTTTCTCGCGGAGAAGTCGGCGGAAGTCGCCACCGAGAAGAAGCGGAAGATAGTGAAGAGCGAACACCTCCGAATCGCCGTCAAGAGGCACCGACCGACCAACGATTTTCTCTTAGACTCGCTTCCCGCGCCGCCAGCTCCCCAGTCGCAGGAAGAGGCTTCTGTAGGCCGCAAGCGCGAAGTTGCTAACAAGCCGGCACCGGCTGGAACTCGCCGGATCGATGCTTTCTTTGCTAAATCAGCGAGCGGTGCTTCACCTTCAGCCTGAGAATCGCCGGTGGATAGCTGTATTTCTCTTTTCCTAGATCTCTACTGTTCTTCGAATTAGGTTCTGTTTGGATTGTAATGTCATCTTCCCTCGATTTTCATATTAGGTATTTGAAATTTTGAATGCTTTCTTGTTGAGAGATGATTACTTAGTGAAGAACAAGACTGTAAACTCATTATTAGGTTTACTAGTACTGCAACTTTACATCTTCATTGTAAGAATACATCAATCTCGAAGCAAATTTTATTTTGACGGAGACATAAATACAACCGTGCTCATCAACCTAACTGAAAGAAGGTCAAATGTGTAGCATTCTATAGCATAAACAAAGTCTGGAACAGTAGATTCTTCAAGGGGACAAGGGCCCAGAAAATGTTGAGAGTACTGAAGCTGTTTCGTCTTGAAATCGTGGAGTAATCCCACGATGAGTAGGAAGAGGAATTTTAGTTTCATGCATTTTCTTCCCTTCCTTTATGTATGATATGGCTTGAGTTGCAGAATAATTGATGCTATTGCTACCCAAACGTTGGATGCTCATAGACAGCTTTCTGTTTGAAGGGGTGGCATAGCTTAAGCCTCCATTCAAGCTTCTGTTGGAAGGGCGTCGACTACTGGTGCTTGGTCTCGAGGTAAAGGGGGGTTCTGGTTCTACTTGGATCTGCACCTTCTTCGTTTCCTGCTGGGCCATCTCATGTAAGGTAAGAGCAGAAATACAGACGGTCAGGCTATGTACAATTTCGTCATTTGATTTAAAGTATCTAGATGAGCTAGCATTTCCTGATGTGAACTATGGGATTAGAACAAGTTGTAGATAGATCTGACTTGTATGGTGGCACTCACCTTTTGCCTTCGCTTTTCGTCCTCTTTCTCAAGCCTTACCATGTTATATTCTTCTATCATTGCCATCAAAGGTACCTATATAAGAATCTTGGTTTGAGATTGAAGTGCATTGTGGAGATCAATGCCACACAGGTATATAAAAGCACGCTTTGCCAACATTTACTAGTTGTGCAATTCATTGTCTTACATCATCGTACAAGAAGACTTTCTTTCTCTCTTCTTCCCAACTCTTTGTTTTGGAGACAAGCGAACCTAACAAATCTGCATGAGCAAGTTTAATGTCAGCATTGTCCGACACACAAGTTGAAAGACAAAAAGTTATTGCCTGCTTAGCTTGCAATGACTTATCTCCAGAAAAGTTTAATTTCTTAGTTGCTGTTGTAAAGAATCCATAATTACCTCCTAGTTAGCAATTTTAGGCCTAGTTTGCAAAGGTTAAGATATTCTTTAGCATTCCGTTATCTTTCCAGGTGTTTAGAGTGGAGGTTGTGCGTTTTTGGCGTATATGTTGAAGCAGGGAGAGGCTCCATGCAAAATCACTCTAGAGTGAGTTTCTAAGATTACCTGGAATCTTATTGACCAGGATTCTGGCCTTTTCTGCACGTCGCAGATTCCTGTGAGCTCCTCTGCTGACTGAATACCGATTCTCATCCTGAAGCATATATGAAGTGTTAGTTAGGATATTTATATTGAGCTGGTAGAATAATTATGTTTGTTGATTTATTCAGTAAGAACTTGACCATGCTATATTCTTCCAACCAACGCTCCTCGTCTCTCGCCAGCATCAACTTTTCAACCTTTTCCATTATTGCCTTCCTGCTGGATGCTTCTTCTTTTGCTCTTGATATTTGTTCGTCCATGCTCATAAGGAGATTTGCATGATCAATCTCACCTTCATGTGTATACTCAGTTAGTGTTGAACCACTAAGTTCAGTACAAGTATCTTTGTAGTTGTTAACTCTTACCAGAGTTAATAAGGTTGATTATTTTTTCCATCTCCGATCTTGAAGGTATCTCCATGTGTGATCTGCTACATATCTCTTCCAGCTCACTCTGTTTCTTGAAGAAGATCTCCTTTGTCTTGCTTGCTTTTAACTGATCTAGTCTCTTGACTTCAGCTTCAGCCTTAAATGACGAAAGACTGATTGTTAATATTCATTTCTCTCCCCCGCAGTATGATATTATCATATGTTCACTGACTAACCTCCTGGATTATATTTTGAGCAAGGCATCCTGGATCCGACACTTCAGATGATGATTTACGTAATAAGTTAGTGACGTGAAAGAATTGCCGGCGGTCTCCATAAGATGTGTCCATGAGATTCCACAGGTTTGTTAAAGCCTTTCCAAGATGGTAAAGCTGCAGGTTGAGAAACTCATGTTAGTTAACTTTCCTTTTGCTGGTAACCTGTTTCTGAGAAAGTAAAAACGTGGCCAAAATACACTGTTTGGAAGATAGCAATATTGGTTTTCACCTTCTCAGTGCGTTTTTGTTTGTCTTCCTTTAGAGTTTCCACAGTGCTGTTCAGCTTAGCCAGTATGGTGTCACTTATGTTCTTGGAAATGCCACACAACTCATTCAGAGTTGGATGGACCTTTGTAATTATCATGGAAGACTCCATTCCTAATGTAGCAGAAAGGTTCCGGATAGTGTCTATATACATCTCCACTTGCTGAAGCCTGTCATTCTTTTGATGTGAAGAAAGAAGAAGCTTTACAATCATATATACCAATGTGCATTTACTGTTTGGACTTCTAAGAACCATGTACCCAATTAACTTTTACCTTTTCTTTGTGTAGTCTTTGCAGCTCACTTTGGTATTCCTCGAGTTTTTTCGACGAAAGGTCATTCTCATTTACTATGACGTTAGTTATTGAATCATCATAAGCGGATTGACCTGCAATCTCTGCTGATATTTTTTGGATTTGCGATTGCACAGCTCGAAACTGGTTTACTCTATCCTCTTTTCTGAGACGCATCTCTCTCAGAGCTGGGGTGATTGCATCCAATTGCTCCTTCAGTGTTCCTGATACTTTCTCCGGCTGCAAACAGAAAGGATAGGTAATTTAGTGAACACATACTGAAACTTTTTTGCAAGGATGAGCAAATCTAGCTCTCTTGCCATCATAGCCCGACTATAAATTATTTAGTAGAATAAACTATTGATCATATGACAAGTAGCTTATAAACCGGAATAGAAAATAATGTCAATGGTTGAATTTGTGCCAACAAATAGACCTGTAACTCATTTTAAGAAAACCTTTATATTTTCTGAATGTCTGAACTTGGTGGTTTCCTTTGCAGATGGCTACAAGCCTATGTTAAATGCTAGTGGTTCATATACTAGCTTGAAAAGTACAGATTAAAGTACCCGTCCAGGGAGAGACCGATCACCAAGGGAGAGAAGAAGATGGGTAAGTTCAGCTTCCGATTCAGCCAATTCTTGATGCAGTCGAGCCCTTGATATGTTTGCACTGTCGACTTTTCTTCTGTAGACCTCCAGACATTCCTGCTCCAAGTCCAGTAGAACCTTCTCACGATTGAATTGGTCTTCACCAACTTCATTCCATATCATCTGTTCTTGCAGGGGAAAAAACCCAGAAGGGAAGAAAATGGCTGCTAAGGGAAAAACAAGAAAAGAAGAAACCCAGTAGTAAAGTAGTAATAAATTGATTTATCACAGCTTGCCTGCAATTCCTGGAGTAGATATCCGCACGATGTTTCTAAAAGTGCAGAGCTCTGCATTTTCTGGAAGGAGCCCATCTGATGGCCTTCCACCCTGGGAGCTGAAACTGGGGCAGCTAAGATAGATTGCCTTCCACAGTTGACACTATCTTCTACTCGGTAAAAGTTGTGGAAACTTTGGTGTCAGTATTTGCTTAGAAGACAAGAAGGCTACAGGATTCGGTTACCTGTAAAGCTTTTGGCTGAAGCATAAGCCAGCTCGCCCATCTTCAGGTTCTGTCTCTCCACCTTATTATTTTACTTTTCTTCACAAAGGCTAAAGTCTCCTTCTTTACTTATATCAGGATGGGAAAATGGCAGTTGCATAGCCATAGTTCAGTGCTTTTTTTATGCACTGTTGGGTTCCTTCTGACCCAGGAATGGGTGCCAAATCGTTTTCATAACCAATACAACACTTCACCTTTTTAAACCTTGTTTAATAATGTTTTAGTTACAAAAGCAGTATATTTTAGAAGGAAATCTTGTCTCTTTAGCGGTAGCATGTCGTTGTCTGGCAAATATAGGTAAGGGAGATAGGGAGAGAACAACTCTCACGAACTTAATGGGGTATGAATCTGAATTATAAAAAAAGTATAGAGACGGCACATGGGATCTGCTACTCTTGAAGGTTACGTCTCTTTGGGCGTAGTGGAGGAAGCTTGTAATCAAGAATCCGTAGCAGTTGAGGTCATCTGTGTTTCGATCTGCGGCTCAGGAAATAGTATTTGAGTAATTTTAGGTTGATGGATCTAAGTTGGTTCGAACCCTGGTTACGAAGGGGCAGCAGCTAATACTTACGTCGATGCGGTGCGTTTAGTGGGGTAAGGTTATAGGCTCAAATACCACATCACTTGTTTTCTGAGTTGCAGAAGGGTTTATAAACCGAAGCAGTAACAATCTGGCTTGTCCCTTCGGGGACATCCGATAAAATTGGAACGATACAGAGAAGATTAGCATGGCCCCTGCGCAAGGATGACACGCATAAATCGAGAAATGGTCCAAATTTTTTTTCCTTCCTCCGCAATCTTTTTTAAATGTTTTTCTATACAGTAATGACGTTGAAGTTCTTAGCATGGTCCCGCGCAAGGATGACACGCATAAATCGAGAAATGGTCCAAATTTTTTTTCTTTCCTCCGCAATCTTTTTTAAATATTTTCCTATACAGTAATGACGACGAAGTTTTTAGTTTTTCCTTCCTCTGCGGTTACTTTAGTTGCCACCTTTCCAGAAAAGATTTTAGTTCCTCCAATTTATGAATTGGCTGCAGGAACATACTTCCATGTCATTCATGTTGGCATTTTGATAGGTTACTTGGATCTCAGTTGTGACGGACTAAATGATAACAGGATAAGACAGTTGTGAATTTTTTTTATATGTTAAGCTGAATCCATATAATTGATCAAGGAATGAAGTACTTACGAGGCAAAACAAGGTTATATGCAGCTTCTTGTGGACTTTGATTTCTTGTTTCTCTTATGGGTTGAAATTTGATCTGAGAACCAGAAGTGTGAAGTTTTGATGTTTGATGTACAATCCAGATACCGAATCCAGACAAGGTTCTGCAATTGTTTGCTCCTTTGATGTGACTTAGAAAATGACGGATTACAGGTTAACTGTCTTGAAAACTCTCGTTGGCTTTCATGGGTGAGACTCATCTGTAACTTTGGGTTCTGCAGTAGCTCCACTCTGCTCATCAGACTTCCTTAGGATACAGGAAGATAGAAGACTTTAAATGTTAGACCAATATATGAGAGGTAACCAGAACTTTGTATGTGACTTGGGGATTGCAAATAGCTATTTAGTAATCTCAGAATGCTTCTTATTCTTATTTTTCCATTAGGGCGTAGGAACTATAGCATCAGTCTTTGTTCTGGTGAGCAGTTCTAGTATAATAGGTGAAACTGTGAAGGAAAGTATGATCATGAAGGCGATTTGGGTCTTTAAGAATTTGAGGCTTAGTGGCCTAATCTCTGTTCCAAAAGGGTGACTGACTTATACCTCCAAAAGGGTGAGTTCATGTCAGGATTGAATGCTACTGTACCACATTGGTTGAAACTACCTCCAATATGCAGTTTATATTTTACATGATCGCCAAAGTTGCTGTCCCTTCGGGGACATCCGATAAAATTGGAACGATACAGAGAAGATTAGCATGGCCCCTGCGCAAGGATGACACGCATAAATCGAGAAATGGTCCAAATTTTTTTTCCTTCCTCGCATTCGATGTTTTTCCTTACCTTCCCCTCTAGTACAGGTGTGGTTTTCTTTTGTTCCTATCTGCTCTTGCACAGTATATGAATTGGGTTTGGTTTCTCACCCATTTGAAGTTTTTGGCTCATATGGTATGCAGCGGCTCATACAGGAAGAAAGTATTTCTTCAAACGAAAGACCGTAAGCAGATTCCAGGTTGCTATATCTCTTGTAACTCTTTTACATTAACATCTTAGAAGTACTTCATCAAAAAGTTACGTTACAGAAGTGACTCATCAGTATCATGATTCTGATGTAGTTCTTGCCCGGGGCTCGGTTTGAAAACGACTAAAAGAAGAGGCAAACAGGAAGGAAGCAGATTGTACAACTCAAACGTCCATTTGAAGTTTTTGGCTCATATGGTATGCAGCGGCTCATACAGTAAGAAAGTATTTCTTCAAACGAAAGACCGTAAGCAGATTCCAGGTTAGCTATATCTCTTGTAACTCTTTTACATTAACATCTTATCTAAGTACTTCATCAAAAAGTCACGTTACAGAAGTGACTCATCAGTATCATGAAAACGACTAAAAGAAGAGGCAAACAGGAAGGAAGCAGATCGTACAACTCAAACGTCCATTACTATAGCAGAGGTAAGACCTACTCCCACCATTCTTTTCTAATAATCGAATCTCCTTTCGGTTGGTTATTTTGCTGCTGCTGCTGCTGCTGCTAACATATAAGTCTATAAGATGAAATGTCTTCAATTCGTAGAACATCATCCATTATAAGTTCTCTTTCGACCTGAGCTCTAGTTGACTTCAGAACTTCCTATTGTATAAATAACACACAGCATAAGCAAAGATAGTTTGTGGTAGAAACTTGAAAGCCAAACCAACTAACTGAAGTGATCACTAGCTATCAATTGATTAATGAATGAAGGTACTGAATAAGCCAGGCAGGGCTCTGATGGTATTTGGGGTAATTTATTTGAACTCATCAAATTGGCAGCTTATAGTTTAGATCTCTTGTATACATTCATTGGTCAACATGATATCCGGAAACCCATCAAACTTCTGAAGTCTGACACAATAGTGATTGATCAGCATCATGATTCTGCTGCAGCTTTTCCCTTGGACTTATGCCTCCAAGGATTCACTTGAAGATGAAGAATGAGGAGAATGTTATACAACTGGAATATTGGACCAACATGTGAGAGGTAAGAACTGCTTAACCATCCCTTTTCAAGAATCTATTTTTCTTCACTTGGTTATTTGCTGATAACATAGAAGGGTATAAGTTGACTTAGCTTCTATCTGAACATCAATCAGAATGTTCCAGAGTTACAATCATTTTAGCCGTTTGTGATTGGATTACAGGGGAATTCGCTTCCTTGGTTCTTTTCTGAACTTCAATTAGAAATATGTTATCTTATTTCCTATGGCTGCATGCTTGTCCATTGGGAACTTCTCTTTCTATACGCTATCTGTCCTGTTCTCGAATTAGAATTCCCCCACAGTCCAAATCACTTATGTTAAAAGTGGCCTATAACAACTGAGAAATTTTGTAAACTTAACCAGTCGATGTTTCGAAAGCCTGATTTGCACTTCTGCCTTAAACTCATATGAAGGCAGACGAATGGATTGAAAATTGAAGCACTGACCATAACTGTATTGGCTTTATACGAAGAACTTGGGATTGAAACAAGCTTTATTTTGCTGACTTCAACATGGAAGAGTTTGGGTAAAAAGTGGAATGATACGGCAAGTAAATAGTAGATTCAGAAGTACCTAAGCAGGTTCGAACCCTGGTCCACCAAAGGCAAAACTAACACTATGAGACGTTGCGTTTTATTAAGCTTATGCTATGTGGTCGGTGCGGATACCACATCGCATGTTGATGGATAATTTACGGTCTTTATTAACAGTAGCCAAGCACAATGTATTGTCCCTTCGGGGACATCCGATAAAATTGGAACGATACAGAGAAGATTAGCATGGCCCCTGCGCAAGGATGACACGCATAAATCGAGAAATGGTCCAAATTTTTTTTTCTTTCTCCGCAATATTTTTTAACTTCAGTGATATTTGACTTTGCTCTTGTCCAGTTTATGAATCCAGTGTGAGCTTACCTCATTCAAGTTTTTGGCTCATATGCTGTGCAGATTTAACACATTGATGTTTTTGGCTCATATGCTGTGGAGGGGCTCATTACTAGATGAATATATCTCAAGCAGGCATTTTGGCGGGGTTGCTTGAATGCCAAGTTCTTTTTCCAAGCTCAATTACAGAGATAAGAACTCTGTATAAGTACACAAATTTGATGTTACTTGCATAATCCACATAAAGATGGAGGAATGAAGTACTCGATCCTTGTCCTGCTGATATTCTATCTTTATTTTGACTTGCCAAATTACGGTTAAAGGTAAGTTATTTAGTAAGCTCGTTAAGGTTCATGGGTCAACTGATTAGTATCCAATAGTTCTACAGAATTCAGATGCAAAAAGACTCATCAGACTTTCTTCTGTCAGTAAGGGCACTCGCTTGGAGAAGAAGGCAAACATGAAGATTGTAAGACTGGACTGTTATCCCATTACTATATCTGAGATAAGTACTACTCCATCATCATTAGAATTCTTCATGTTTCCAGTTGGTTATCTTGGTGCTGCTAATATAGTAGGGCATATGATGGCGTGTCTTCGATTCGTAGTACGTTATCATTAGAAATTCTCTTTCCTTTGTATGAAGAAAACACTGCACTGGGAAAATAGTGTGAGAAAACCAAACCAACTAACTGACAGTGATCACAAGCTAGCAGGGTCCTTAAATTGAAATCCTTGTAAGTTGCATTCCTCTCTAGCCATTGTTTGTTGATCACAAACGATACGCAATAGCGCAAATCGAATGCTCACAACACACAGATTGATGAAATAACTCAATAAGAGATGCAAATGCACTGAACTACACATGCCTCGACATAGTTGCAGTGTTCCTACCTGATAACATATGCATGAAAACTGATCTCACAAATGTACTAGGCTTTGTTGCAACACCACTACATTAGATAAGCCAAAACACTTGGAAGATCATCAACTACTTAGTTTCGTTTATATTGAAGTTTCAAAATTAACAATTGTCTGTCAGGTTACTTACTAGAATCAAGATCAAGCATCTGCATGATCATGAACGTGACATTTACACCCGCGATAGCATACTCCCTAGCAGACCTCTTCCCTCCTTGCTTGTTCAGTAACTGTTGAAATGAAGTATGTAGCAAAACACAGGGTTCTGCAATTTTAGTGCCACAGGTTTGGTCTGTGTAGACTGAGATTAAGTTTAGGATTAGGATGGCTCATACCAAAACTGTCTTGGCGAAGGAAAACAGGTACTCCAATGAAATAAAACCTGCTCCCCTGTTACAAATGTTTAGAAACATCCACCCGGTGATGAGTTATCCAGGAATGCTGTAGTTTGACCATTACATTAATTGTGAAGGCTGAATCAACCTTAAATCAATAGAAGGAGTGAAGGATCTTTCCACTGCATTCCCATTTCCTTTCATTGATCAGATATCAGTCACATAGCTTTATGTCAGGATGTGGCTAACCATAGTGCTCTTGGAGTTTCCTGTTTCATCAAAATTCCCACCTTTAGAAGAAAAGTTGATAAGAGCTTGAGTATCAAGTTCTGGCATATGGTTAATGGTAAAGGGAAAAGTTCCACACACCTGGTGATCACTCCTAGAAGTATCGAAATGAACCTTCATTAGACGCTTCCACCCTCTCACTCTTTCCTCCTTCAAACTCTCCAATGCAATCCATCAGCTCACTAGAAGTACATAAATTATCATAGCCTCGGCATCTTTCAAAAATATATCGTCTCATGTGTTAGTAAAACCGGAATCTTTAACCCTTGCTCCCCTACTGCATTCATTTACATTGGCTTTGGTTGGGTTGATCCTTGGTTGAAATGCCACTGCTATCACTATAGAGAGTACCACTATGTGTGAAGGTACTGGTTAGATTGTGTATCATAAATTACCTGTCATTATAATTGAGCTGCCTGGCATTTAACTTCGTTTCAGCACAGGACCTCTTCTCAAAATAGAAGAACACTTAACTAAATTCTTTAGCCTTGCCTACTGCAATCTTATCATTGCCCAAGATGGTTTGTTTTGAAGTTTAGGCCTTAGGGGGATGTAGAACCCAATTATGGGTTTGTCATTCGCCACATTTCTTGTGCTTTCACCTATAATAGCCATTATAACTTCCAACCGTTAGTAGTTTGATCATCCCTTCGTGGACATCCAATTTTATTGGAACGATACAGAGAAGATCGGTGTGAGCCGTACACAAGGATAATATTTGGTCCTTATTTGGCTTACCACAATGGCAGTTACAGGCTAGCTATCTTGTAAACTTCTTTAGATTCATGGGTCAAATTATTATTATCCAATAGATTCACCAGATGCAAAAAGAACTCATCAGGCTTTCTTTTGTCAGCAAGGACACTCTCTTGGAGAAGAGCGAGAAACATGAGAGGAGTTCGTATAAATAAAATGTTAGCCAATTACTATATCGGAGGTAAGTGCTACTCCACCATCCTTCGAACTATTGATGTTTCTTCAGTTGGTTATTTTGTTGCTGCTGCTAACAAAGAAGTGTATAAGATGGCATGTCTTCGATTCGTAGAACGTCGTCCATTAGAAGCTCTCTTTCCACCTGAGCTCTAGTTGACTTCAAAACCTCCTATTTGTATGAAAGAAAAACACAGCATTAGGAAGAAAGTGGGAGAAAACTAAACTAAAGTGATCACTAGCTAGCTAGGTCCTCACATTGAACTCCATGTAAGTTGCATTCCTCTCTAGCCATTGCTTGTCCATAATCACAAATGCCACACAATAGAGCAAGTCGAATGCCCACTCATTTTCTTCGAAAACAGATTCGTGAAATCAGAGATGAACAAAGCACTGAATTACGCATGCATCACATAGTTTTAGTATTCCTACCTGATAACATCTGCATGAAAACTGATCTCACAAATGTCCTAGGCTTTGCTGCAGCACAACTACACAGGATTAGCCGAAACACTTCGGAAGATCATCAATTAGTAAGTCTAGTGTAGCTGGCATTGAAGTTTCAAGATTAACAAACGTCTGTGAGGCTACTTACTAGCATCAAGATCAAGCATCTGCATGATCATGAACGTCACATTTACACCTGCAACAGCAAATGGATACTCCCAGGCTGACCTCTTCCCTCCTTGCTTTTTCAGTAACCGTTGGAATGATATCTGTGGCAACACAAAGTTGTCTGAATTTAATTGCCATGGCAGTGCTGCCATCTTTAGACTGAGGTTAAGTTTAGGATCATATACCGAAAATGTCTTGGCGAAGAACAATAGGTTCTCCAGAGAGATAAATCCAGCTCCCCTGCAGAAAACGTTAGGAAAATTAACCCTGCGCCGAGTATATGAGGAATGCTGCTCATAGGTGAATAAGAACCTGAAATCAGTAGAAGGATCTTTCCCCTGCCATCCCATTTCTTTCCATTGGTCGGATACTAATCCACATAGCTTTATGTCAGGATATGTGGCTGACCATAGTGCTCTTAGAGCTGCCTGTTTATCATTAGAAGTGACCACCTTTAGAACTTAGAAGGAATGTGTAAATCTAAAGGAAGCCAAGTTTTTCTCCCACTCTATGATCTTAGAAGAGCTAACATGTTGAGTTCTCGAAATCAGCAGGCCAAAAAAGATCCCCACACGAACCTGATGATCGGTCCTAGAAGTATCGAAATGGACCTTCATCCGATGCTTCAATCTTCTCACTCTTTCCTCCTGCAAAGCAACAAATAAAAGGGTACAGAAACTGTTAGAATCTCAACCCATCTTTCAAAACCTAGAGCCCCTAAATACATGAATAAAACCGGAATCTTTAGCTTCCCCCACTAGTGTATTAGTCATTTGCATTGGCTATGGTTGGCTTGATCCTTGGTCGAAATACGGCTGTTGTCATTGCCATTATAGAGGGTACCACTGTGTGTGAAGGGTACCAGCTAGACTGTGTATCTTTCTTAAATCAAGTGCAGTTAAGCAGAAGCCCTACTCTGGGCTTGCCCATAGCCACATTTCTCAACTTTCTAATGCTTTCAACCATTAACGCAGTGCAGTTACAGCATACCTGTTGAGGAGTTAGGTTGATGAAGATGCGTTGATAGACCCCTTTCCTGTTGAAGCAAACACAAGTAAGGCCTCTACCGATCCAAGCAGGCGCCCCACAAGTTGCATGCTCATCTGCCCAAAAAATCGACACCCACATTTGTTTTGTTTGTTCAGTTTGTAAAGCATTTACCTCCGCATGAAAACACAACTAAAACAAAAGACCTCGTGCGTTCGTTGCTGCATCAACAGAGCATTTCATTTTCATTTTCATTTTCATTTCATAGATCAGGTGGCTACTAGTTGGAGTTCTCTTTGAAATGGTCATTTCCCTGGGGGGGAAAAAAATCCCTCCCTAGATAAACCGGTACCGTTTTTGCCATTTCCCATTGCCGGTATAAGCTGCAGACTACTGTGAGGATGGCCATCTGTTGGCATCAAGGCATAGGGAGCCCCACGGTTACAGACAGGACGGCTAACTGAGGCAAATTAAAGGACTAAAGGCCAAGGGCTCCAGGTCACGTGACCCAAACCAACTACTAACTGAGCTATATACTGTCCGAACCTGACTCTTGTTCGGACTGACATTAATCGATCCATATGATCTAGGGGTCGTTTAGATGGATCAATATAGAAATGAGTCAATTTGATCAATTGTCTCGTTTTTATAAGCGAGACAATTAAAATGAGTCAATTCGAATTACCTGCCCCCACCCCAGGTAATTGAAATTGACTCAAAACTGATCAATTCAAAATACCTCAGACAGATTGATCTATCCAATTTTTTTGCTGGCAAACGAGACAATTGTGTCCAATTGATCCGTTACAATTCCTCATCCAAACGACCCCTAATCTATCATCATAATCATACCATGTCGGCGGTACGATATAGGAGTGTTCAAACAATGTGGTTATTATGATAACCGTTTTAACTAGTCGTATTTGGCTCATTTGGATTGGTTAATTAGATAATTGGTTTGGTTTGGTTAAATTTTTTAGCTTGTTTGATTTAAGTGGTTAGACACTCCTAATCAATCAAACCAAATTAATCAGTTAAGTAATTATTCATATATCTAATATATATTATAATACAGCTCAATATTGTTCCTATACTAATATTTGTATTTGTTGAGTGTAAACCATGGTATATTAACGCTCAATTCAGATAAAACTCATATAATATATTAGATGAAAACTTGAAATGGAAATCTTCTTCAACCTATGATAATTGCTAAGAGACTAATTCAATTCACACAATCACAATAATTAATTAACTCCATACTATTTACATATATTTTTGTTAGGTGAATACTTCTATTGACCGTAAGATAATTGTATTCGTTGCATGTAATTCTGTAAGAGTTAACTATAACTTTGTGTTCATTGTAATGTTTTATTCATTATATAAATTGTGAACTGATGCATTAACTGAAATTTTTCTCACTTAATGATAAGTGATGTTATATTAGTTAATCTGGTTAGCCAGTTAATCAAACTGATTGAACTTTAGTTTGGTTAATTTGATTGTTATATTAGTTTGGATGGTTTGATTATGATATTATAGAATTTCTGCTTGTTTTGTTTGGTAATTACCATGATAATCATTTGAATATCCCTAATAGGTTTAGGCTCCCGTATTATCTTTTTTATGTAAGAGTTGAACTATGATTAACTATAATTTCAACATAAAATCATTTATCACTAATTTTTCCGGTACAATTTTCGATATGAGGTTATAATTCTTTGTTTTTCCCGTTCCAACTGGCCGTAATGGCTCGAGTTGTTTGTGATTAAAATCGTAACTAAAACTGGTTAGGCCGACACAACACGTCACGCACGACGGTGGGGTTGCCTAGTTTCTACTGCAATGTACTATCACCATAATATGCAGTATTGACTATTATAGTGTAGGGTTGCGTCGTGTAGCAGAGCATAGTGTGTGTTCTTTGTTCCGTTTTGGCTTAATTATATAGTTAGTCAGACAGTGTTTCACTTGGTTGTGTTGTCTTTGTCCAAAAGTATTTGGGGTTTTTTAGTGGAGTGTAGAATTTTGGACCACAAATCCGACCACGTGGGGAACATATGGAGTCCATGTGAGAATTAGGGTGTGAGTTGGGGTTGGACCCACAACTTAAAGAAATCCAACCGGTTTAACCCGACCCGAAATCATGTTTTCTGGAGTCTTAGCCAATACGCAATTTTAACGATATGAAAAGATTGAGCCATGGTTAAACTTGTAGTTTCAATGCAAACTACCAACTATTAACTTTTCGGATACGGTCATACAATTCTTGATTCTAACATGTTAATGACCATGAATCAAATGTTCAGCACTTTATGGCGATGCACATAATGATAATTATTTGAATAGTAGTTAAATTGTTCATTACTTTGTTGGGAGTGTTTTTAGTTGCTAAGTGATCATATTTGTATTTGACCCAATTTGATTCAGTCAAATATTAATTCAGTGTATTTTCTTCAACATTCATAAGATTCACGAGACGAAATACTGGACTGCATTATATTCAATCTGATTCAAATATCTGTATGCTTTGGTATTGTGCCGTGAGGGACAAAACCTTTACACACCACTAAAGGTAAATTCGAACTAGTTTAATTTCAGTTTTGCCCCCTTATCGTTTGTCTTTATGTTCAAATGAATGGGTAAAAGTTGTATTTTCATTAAAAAGTGACTTTATTCGTTTAAAGATTGATAGACCATTATTTGTACATGTTTTTGCCACCATTCTTGAACTGTTTGACAGTCGATTCTCGTGTTTTAAGCCGATTTCATGCTAGGTTGTGCGTTTATGTCATATTTCAGGACGTGGCGTGGACATGGAGGCGAGGAAGCGAGGTTCGGGTCAAAACATGGAGAATTGGCGCCTAGAGGAGTTGGAAGCTGAAATACCCGGTCAGACACTAAAATACCCGACCGAGTAATTGTGAAGGGAGTGACCAGGTAAAATTGTTTTGGAGGCCATAGGAGCAGAAGGAGTCCCGACCCCAAGATCGGGTATTCCCCCTTCCCCAGCGCGCATCGTTTTGAAATACCCGGTCGGTCCCCAAGAATACCCGACCGGGTATTTGGAGCGGGTATCACGCGCTGCTGCTGTTTGCCTGTTTCAAGCAAGGTTTGGGCTCTTTGGCAAAGAATTCGAGTTTTGGAGAAAGAAAGCAAAAACCTAAAGAGAGAAAGTGACAAACAAAGCCTCCAAGTGACCTAGATCGAGATTCAACACCATTGAAACTCGATTGAAGCTTGGAGAAGTGTCGATTGACAACCAGAAGCTGTTTTTCATCCTTCACAGAATGACTTCCGCATCTGAAGCTGATTTCTAGACTCTCTCTCTCAACTGGGTATGAAGAACCCTAGATTTGTATGTTAGGTTTGGTTGTATGAACCCAAGTACATGTTCTTTGACGTTGATTATATACAATTGAGGCATGATTTTCTGAACTGCATGAATCCTTATCAAATTCCTGTGTTTCCTACTTTGACCTAGAAAGAGAATATATGCATAGGTTGATAGATCACGGTGGTGAATTGACTACTTTAGTAGAGGAGTCAATTCACTGCTCTGTACTGGATTTACTCTAGTAGAGGAGGTTTTGAACGTTAGGGCCTCAGTTTGTTTACTCCGGTGGAGGTTAGTCGCCCGCCGGGTACTCAGGTTGAGAGGGTCTGGAGACCTTTAGTCGAGACTTCATACTGAATAAGAACCTTCCGCAGTATAACTGTCATCGAATCTGGACTTGGAGAATTATAATCCGACTTAACTGCAATCTAGGGTGAACCATATCTGGGTGATCTCTCTCAAACTTGAACTACAACTTTTAATGCTTTGTGTTCATTCAGTTTAGTTAACACTTCTCTACAGTTAAACCGCTAAATAATAAGAACTTCACGGAGTAGTCATCACATCTATAACCTGGGTTGACAATTAAAGCTAAACCCGCTATACTACGCATTAGTAGGTGGTTACGCTTGTCCACTTTCTAGTGTGACGGAACAAGCGAGTCAAAATACAAACAGATAAACCAAATAGTGTAATCTTATACTGCTACTATTATTATATTAATTACAATGCATCCATATATAACATTCGGATAAACAAAAAAGTTGTTATATAGTCATTTTTTGCCATCACCCATCTAGTCTGAAATAGGTAGATGAGTTTTAACATTTTTCCAAAAGAAATTTGTATATTTAATAGATCACGGTGACTTCATTTCTTATGAGCAATTTTTCAAAATACGAGTTAAAAACAAAGGTGATACCTGATATCAGGATGATAATGAGCGGTATGAAATTGTTTTACTTGAAATATATTGAAATTTAATACAATTTTTTAGATGATACCTGATAGTCGTTTTTTGCCATCACCCATCTGGTCTGAAATAGGTAGATGTGTTTTAACTGCAAAGTCCACGAGGAGCGGTTCCCCTGCATAGCTTATATTTACCATTTCCCCTCAGAAATTTGTATATCTAACAGATTACGGTGAACTCGTTCCTTATGGATAATTTTTTCAAAACACGAGTTAAAAACGAAGATGGTACCAAGTGATATCAGGTATGTAATTAGTGGTATGACATTGTTTTGCTTGAAATATATTGAAATTTAATCCAATTTCTTAGATCACAAAATAACCTGTTTCATCTGCATAAATATTTTTGAAATCCAAATTTAAATAAAGAAGAATATCAAATTCGATTAAAAAATAAAAATAATCATTAATATTCATCTCTTGAATCTGATCCCAATTAAAACTATAGGTCCCTGATTATGCAAATGTGCAGCAACCCTACTTAATTATCCCTTTTGTCCCCAACGAAAATGCAATAGTGAGAGTTCTGACGGTGATAACAAGGCTTTTTTTTTTAACAATTATTATATGATTAAATTATGTTATATGTTGTGTCGTTTCCCCCATCGCAGCAAGAAGACAGGCAAAGGACGTAACTCACTGATTTTGTATCTTTGTTTATGAGCATCTACAAGTAGAAAAGTAGGTTTAGATTTATTTAGATATCCCCTAATGAGTTTCCCCCCATCTGCTGGACAGCCCGGCCCCACTCGCAGCGGATTCGATGTTCGATGGCACTAACTGCTGTTAACCGTAGGTAATCGCATTAGTAATCGTTAAAAATGCGGTTACATGTTGTTCGGTTGCGATTGTGGTTAATTCATAAACCGCAAAATATGCAATATTACTACCCGTGACCGCAAAAGACCCTATTTTTTTGGTTTGCGGTTAACCATTAACCGCGCGATTTTGGTGCGGTTAACGGTTTAACCGTAAAACCGCAACCGAATTCCCACCCCTAACTTAAACCGGTTTGACAACCTTGTTCAAGCCTATACTCAATA